CTATATTATTTGGCATTCTTATAATTAATACCAATTTCGACACTATTTTCGTGTTCCACACAGTGTTCTGAATGATTTATTTAGAATCGATAAGGCATTTTACCGTTGTCATCGGAATGTTAAATGTATTTTTTCTTATGCTTAAAGAGGTATATGTTGATGCCTATATTTATTTGTATTTTATCTGTGTTTTTTTTATTCGCTTGGATTAGTGGTGCGGGTTTCAGCCTAACCCGCAATTTAAGCGGATAGAATAGAGAGTGGCTGAGATTTATAAAAACAATTCATGTTTCTTCGAGTGATTTTAGATATTTGTTTAATCTATTGTTGCATTAGCATATGTTCCAAAATGTTTATCGTAACTTGAGTAATTATATATAAGCTATATATAATTATGTGTATTGACTTTTTATCTTATTAGTCATATAGAAGATTCTCTTCGTACAGAGGTAATTCGCTACCTGGGTTGGCTCACCACCGCTTTGCCAGTTGCTATTCAACGTCAATTTGTATTCGAAAAATCAGATATCTGTACAGGAGGCCAAATGAATCATTCGCGTTACTTCATTGCAAGTACCCCTTTAACCGCTTTACTTGTGTACCTTTTGATATTTTTTCCTCAATGCATTACTTTTTTGTTATCTTTTCAGCATTTAATCAAAATTTTACTCTTATGCGCGCATATCAATTATTGCAATATTTTTTTGCTAGAGTTGCATTACGTTATTTAATTCCTAAAAAAACAATAAATTTTTTCCTTATCTTTTGTTATGACACAAGGGTGCATGTGCCGCATCCGCTACACCATTTAAAAATCTCACCAATGCTCTGAAAAATGTTTTTTTGATATTAATCCTTTTAATTTGCTTGCTATATCACTGAGCTATCGTTAATACTCATTTTTCACATTTTAAGTTGTCCTATACTTGTTCTCAATTAGATTAACTTGTATGACCACATTCCTTGGTTTATTTGGATAAAATTTACTGCCTTATCCGTTTTTCGTTTATAGCGTGCAGTATATGGTCCATGTGCGGAAAAAAGTTTGGCACAAAATTTTATTATACTCTGCTATATTTTAATTCCTATTCTCTTTTTATCATCTACTCTCCTCCATCCAGCGTCTTGTTTTATTTTCTCTTCTTATGGATCTACCTAATCTGCCGATTCTGCACAAGCCTACAACTACACTGAATGATTTTGCGGCTGCTCCTCTTAGAACGTATGAATCTAATTTAACCCATTGCAACTTGTCAGCTCAATCTGCAGGCTCCTTACAGGGGCAATCTTTTATCCATTCTCCCATTCCTCAATTGGCAAATTCGAATCCCTCACTGGATTTCCTTCGAGGTACCTTATTTTTACCATGTCCTTTTCGGGCCTAGATTAAAATTTTTAATTAAACTGACCTGATTTTTAGCACGATTGGTTTATTTGTACATTAGACGAAGCCTTGAAAACTTCAAATGGGTATGTAAATGCAAATTTGCATCGAATATGATCCCTTCATTATTAACAACTAGAGTTTGAACTGATTTATATCCCATAGGTCTAGGTTGTAATATAAGTTTATTGTGTATGGCCAATTAAAGTGATCATTTAGCATTCATTTTTTACTTGTACGGTCAATCTGATACCATTAGGGTCGTTTGTTATAAACACAATGGCTACATACACCGGTCTCAAAACGTTGATGTTAATCAATGCTGTTCCTATCTTCTGGAAGAACATTTCCTATTCTCTGAAGCTATGTTGAATTCCTTGTCCTTACTTGAATAGCATTGTACGGTGGGTGTCATACATTACTTTCTCTATCTATTGCTTTGAAACTTTCACGATTTTGGGTTCAAGATTTAATACGTATCACTGGAGACGTGGTAATTTAGGAAGTGCATTTTTTAAATATTTATATAGTTGATTCGACCTTGTTTTCGCAACTTGGTCGGAGCGTCAAGGAGACCTTGTGGAATGTACCTAGCCGCGTCTCCACTGTCAGTGTATTCGTGATGCCATCCTGGGGACAGAACGAATCAGTAGAGAGTTCCTAATCGGCTTAATAAACCTAACAATAAGAGGGATCTACTTCAAATTCAATGGCTATATTTGAGTAAATGTTTGGTCTCCCTATGGGCTCACCACGCTCACCTCTGTTGGTTAATGTATTCATGGATACAGAAAGATCAGAACTAGCTGAACGCATCGCCCTTATTGGTCACACAATTAATTAGAATGCAACAGAAAGACTGGCCTCATATGGGAAGAACTCCAGAAAACTGAAAATTAGGGAGGGTGTGGACATCCTCTTTCAAAGAAACCTGATGAACAGGAGATTAGATGATAGAAGAGTCAGCGATAATTTCGCGTACTGCCTGAGCGGACTTGAAGTTTAAACAAATACATCAGAAAGAATACGCATGGACCCAGGACGACTGTTCAACAACAGAAAGAAACATCACCAAGGAGCGACTCATGAGGAACAAAGGGAAGTCAAGAAAGTGCAACTGCAGTGAGAGGAGCCACAAATTTATCCAGGGAGTTCACCTGTGAGATGTGAGATGTAGGATCTGGTACTGGTTGTGTAGATT